GATTTTTTCTCTCTTTTAAGGCAAACCGATAACATCCCATACAAACCTTTATAAATATAAAACGTTGCGGAACACGTTAAGAGTTACGTTCGCTTTTCTAGTAGCGAGCTTGGGCTGCCTGTGTTTCCTGTGTTTTGGGCGTGCTCTGAAACGGTGGAGGTCTGCATCTTAGCGAGTCGGATATTCCTACCGCATACCCGACATACATACACCCGACCTGGTGAGGTAATGCTTGCGAAGTATGGTGTTGACCTTAAAACAGTAAAAGGTCTGCATTTTTGTTAAGAGTTACGTCCGCTTTTCTAGTAGCGAGCTTGGGCTTCCTGTGCAGGAAACCGCCCGCTCTGGAACGAAGTAAAGTTTATCGATTGTGATCCCCATTTCTACCTACGCAGGGTGAAAGAGACAATTCTACCATAACAGTATCAACTGGGACAGTGGAATAGAAACCACAGTTGCCAAGATGCCAACGATCAAGAAAACAGCAGGAGAGTTGTGCGGCAACAGACTACAGAGGGAACCTGATCCGAAGATGCAACAATCACGGCTGAACACAACAGCACAGTTGTGATACGATCCATATCCCAAGTGACCACATCGTGGGACAAACACTGTTTTTCTTTTGAGAAAGTGTCGTTTACCACAATGGTAAACCACAACGCATCTCACGATAAAAAATATGTCTCAAATTTACTAAATTAACATCTGTAATGGTTTGATTCATCGAACTAAGAATAACATAAAAGTTATTATAGCAAAGAATACATCCAAAATAGATAAAGGCAGAGCCTATACAGGTGATAATGCGCACCACCGAATGTAAAATCCCTGTAGAAATATGTACAAATATTCATAGTTTACAAACGTTAGCTGTTCAGATTTAAAAGATATACATCCCATATACTCATTTAGACTCTTTAATGACAGACACTTATTTCTAGGAAAGGGACCGTGGCTTCCAAACGGACTCATTGTTGATTTTAGATTAGAAAACCTTGGGTGTTTTCAATTGACAAAACAAATTTCAAAAGTGAAGACTGGGGCGGTCATTTTCAAAAGCAGGTCCGCCCCATTCCTCGTGCGTATTGGTTAATAAACAAAGGATAGAACTTTCTTTTATTGATCGCTCTAAGAAAATCATCAAGTAAAATTGTCACACGCTGAATGGCCCACATTTTAAAATTTCAACTGCGTTATTCAAAAGCTGACAGATTATTTGATTAAAAAGTACAGGCTAGAGCTATACAACCAAGGCTGTGCTTTGAAAGGGCCTGGCTGCCACAGGCCACCAATTTTATCAAATTATTTAGGAACAGAGTACCACAGATGTTTGAGATAGAGCCTATAGACAGTTAGAGATCCTTCCAAGAGCACATCCGCTTTACAAAACTTAAGGAAGTTCCTTACCCTTCCCCCCTCCGCAAAAAAGAGGGTCAAGCAGGTAATGACCGAAACTAGTTATCAGTTACAAGGTGCCCTTATCACCATTGCCGTTATCGATTGCAGCCATAATCTGTTCCACAGGATTTTCTCCCTTTTAATTAAGAACAATTGACTCCAAAACTCAAGGTAATCAATTCCTCTTTTTTCAACGCTAAAAAAATACCTCACTGAGATATTTTTAGTTCACTGGCACGGCGTATTGTGGATAAAGATTGCTCTGCGCTCAATGACCTCTTGTACAGTGAAGGTGGGGTGGGTAAGGTACTCACTCGCGTTGCATCAATTTTCATAGACTTACTTCTAAGTAAGCCACAATAGCCTCGTTAGTCGGTAGTCTCGTCAAATTTATACTTATAACACTTTGAAAGTATACCGTCATTTACAGAAGTGAGTCCTTCCCCCTCAACTAACTCAGCGTTATTCTAAAGCAAAGAAAAATGTAAATTTAACTCGTAAAATACATCATTGCTGCATAGATAGCTTTTCGATTAAGTGTCATAAAACAAAACTGAATAACAATGGCCATTCAGAAGGAACGAAAATACCTATAAGAGCCAATGAGAACTCAAAGTAGAAACAACCAAACTGCCTAAAGGGCGGGAAAACGCGGGCGTCCGAGTCGCGATTGGTCATTGTTCTGCACCTGATTGGTTGAGAGAGTGACGCGAGTTTCTGGACCAATCACAGAGCGGAGTAAAGTAAAACCAATGTAAAGTCCGATTACTTTCGACACTGAGTTGAAAATTGTTCCTATATCCAGTAGACTACGCCAAACTTAAGTTATTTTCAAAATGTATTGTAAATACTGAACAAGAAACCCCCTGTAGTTGTTAAACTACTCTTATTAAATGAGCTTGATTGCAAGCTTGTGCTGAAGTAGCACAAAGTTTTCAAATTAGGTACCAGAATTTTCACAACAGCGTATTAGCCTCGAATAAAGTCAAAACTTCTTCCCAAGTTCTGTGTCATTTGATGTCAGAGGCAACTTCTGAACTATCCGCTTCTCACATTTCAATGGCTTACAGAGAGCATATAAATTACATGTAGTCCTAAATAATTATCATTAATTTGTAGTTATGCTACAAAAATTTCAATATTAATAACAGAGGATTATAAGCACTGATCGTAGAACTTAAGGTTCCTCATCCAAATTAAAGGCTAGCTCTCCGGTTCTCTTCATATAATTAAATGCAAAATAATTTTTGGAATAAATTTAAAGGAACCCTTCAGGGACATATGATCAACGTCACAAGAAAAATTTTGAAACTTTAAATTCTCTTACCCTGACCACAACGAAATCGGTGGAGGATCCAGGGGGGAGGGTTCAGGGGTCCGGCCCTTCCCCCCCCCCCTCACCTCATCAGACCTGTGGATATTTCTACTACTTGTCTAAAACCAAAATGATTCAACAACAGGATCACATATTACTACTTAACTAATGTATCAAAAACAATAGATTATTTTCTAATTTATTTAAAATCTATTGTAAAAAATAAATTTTCGGGGCCTGGTTGTTCAAAGCTGGGTTAAGATAACCCAGGGTTAGTGTGAAATCTGATCAGATCTGACAGACTTAAAAAAAATTCAGTAGAATTAATTTTTTTTTTCTAGAATTTAATGATTGGATGCTCTAAAAATAATGGCGAAATTCATGATCCCGAAAAGGCTCTTGCACAAAGGCATAAAGAAACCCCGATTGAAATTTAACCTTGGGTTAGCGCTAAACGACCATCGAACAACTGGACCCTGTGTTTCTGAAACAACGCCGTATTTAAACCACTAACCAACGGGTCGGCAGAGAGTGGAGAAGATTCGAACAGACGTGTCAAGTGATAGGATGTATTAGGACTATTAATGGTCAGTCAGCAGGACCGAGTCGAGTTACAGTTGTAGGGTAGACTAAGTTACGAAAGCATCTACCTAAGATTCTTCTGCTCCTTGCATACAAGCAAGAAAGTCACAGTGTTTCAAAGCCGTGTAACGTTTCGGTAAGTCGACAAAATACCAATAATTGAATAACCTATGAGTTAAAACCCAAAGTTTTCCTTTTCCTTACTTTTGTTGTTTTGTTTTTGTTGTGTTTTTTTAGCATACTTTTTAAGTCTCCTTTTCCTTGCTTATGTTTCTATACACAGATGTCTATGGAAGCTTCAAATTATTTTGTACTTTTACATGACGCCGATTGTTTTTTATGTTTTCCTTTCATGAGGAATTGGCGCGCAGCTGGCCAAAATGGATCGCCGTACCTATCCTTGACTATTGATCATCATCATCATCATCATCATCATCATCGTGTTTATTTGTTCAAGCAGATTGAATTTATTGGCAACTGTATAAGCTGATGTGGACCTGCTGTTTTCCCACTCAACCCACCCCAGGGAAGGACATCCAGCACACAGTAATCTCGCGCGTGGGAAATTAACGTCTTTTACCCCTTACCCTTTAAGAGACGGGACCTTCTGCTGTACGTCCTATCCGAGAAGACGAAACAATGTGAGTGAAGTGTCTTGCTTAAGGACACAACGTTAAGCCCCAGCCAGGACTTGAACCCGGGCCGTTTGACCCAGAGTCCAGCGCACTGACGGCTTATTTGACTTGACCTGATTTTGATTTTTCTTTCACTCAAACATTTGAACACGATGGTTATTTGTGTCACAAACAGCAATTCGGTCGTTGCTTAAAATTGCAAGTGACAGAGGACTTTGAAACTCTCCCAAATTGCTGCCCTTTGTACCAAACTTGCCAATAAACTTACCATTTGTTTCAAATACTTGTACTCTATGATTACATTCATCACAAACCATCAGGTGTCCTGATTTGTTCACTGACATAAAACCAGGATTGTAAAACTCCCCGTCACCGATACCATTCTTTCCAAACTTATACTGAAAGTTTCCATTTCTGTCAAATACTTTGATACAATGTTCACCACTGTCGGACACTATGAGATATCTATCATACTGAATACAGTGCCTAAGAAATTTAGAAAAACCCTGACCACCTGTCTTCATAAGGAACTTTCCATCGTGAGAAAAGATTTTAATTAAACTGTTTCCTCTGTCAGTAACGATGATATTTCCGTCACTGTCTACAGATAAACCCCAAGGACTATTAAGTTGATGATCAAGGTTACCACACTCACCAAAGCTTCCAACGTACTTACCCTCCACAGTGACGATCTCAATTCTATGATTCAAACTGTTTGCGACGAAAATATTCCCATTATTATGAAAGGCTATTCCCATAAGTTGTATAAATTCTTCCTGGTTGCTACCCTGGCACCCAAAAGATCTTATGTAATTTCCGTCACTGTTAAAGATTTGAATTCTGTTGTTGCCATAATCAGTTACAGCTATCTCGTCCTTAGCATTCACTGCTACCGCCCAAGGATGTCTAAACATTCCTATAGACGAACCTCCTACACCGAAAGATAAAACAGGTGTAAACTGAAATGGTTTTACTTGTACGGTAAAAGGACTGCTGCAAACATGTTCCCCGTTTACCTTTACCTTCACTTTACATCTTCCCTGTTCCTTTGGAGTAAAGCTGATCTGATAGAGTCCATCTCTAAAGTCATTTATTCGTAATCCCGCCGCACATTCTCGTCCTTGTTCATCTCTGATCTCCACCGTAACGTGGTCACGCTCGTTGTAAAACTGTTTTCCACAAGCGTTCCTTGAAGTCAATGTAAATTTTGCTTGACGATTCATAAACCCTTCCTCAAGTCCTCTGCCTTCGGCAATAGACTGACTTGCTTTTGTGCGTTGCAAACATTGCAAAGTTCCCATTTGTTCAACTTTGACGGTGTCCAACACCTTTTGATTTTTCTCGAAAACGAAACCAGCCGAAAGGCTTCTGGTGTCACAGTCAACTGGCTCGGTTTGATCAACTCGTTCAAATATGGCGTCTAACGATTTCTTTAGTTGAACGATTTCAGCGTTTGTGCTACGACTTAAAAGCTTATCAGCGTTTTTTAGGGATGATTCTATCGCCTTTATTTGAGTCTGAACTTCGGTTTTTCGCTCCGTTATAAGTTCAAGCGACGTGCTCGTTTCTTTCTCTACCGATGATAGTATATTCTGCTTTTTGGCCTCAATAACGGCCACGAGATTGTCAACAAATATTTCAACGTTTCTTATAATGTCTTCGCCTTGTTGCATCAGTCTGGCGACTTCATCATCAAGTCGATTGACGGCTTCCATCTTTGCTTGTAAATTGCGTCTCTGCATTTCAACCAACGACTTCATCTCAGTCCTGTGTATTTCGGCTTCTTCTTTGATTAATTTCATGTTATGAGCTCCGTGGTCCAATATGGAACAAACCTGGCAAGCTGGCATTTCACAACTCTTGCAAAAGTACTTCAGCTCTTCTTTGTCGTGATCTTTCTTAGGACAAAAGGCAGGTCGTTTCATTAGCTCCTCATAGTCCTCGTCTTGAAAGGCTTTGAGCGCCAGAACACGATGATCTCTGTAACTCTTCCACATGTTGTGTCCAATTACGCACTCTTGGCAATAAAATACACAGCACTGGAAACAATAAAAACTTTCCGAGCTTGTATTGTCGCAGTTTACACATTTCACCTGGTTGGTTTTACATTCTTTAATTGCCAGCACATCAATTAAGCCGTTCAGATAAAAACTGGTGGGAAGATCGTTCAAATCGCCACTTACAGGCACTCTGCTAAGAGCTTGGCACTTCGGGCATCTGATTGTGTCTCGGCCATGGCTTATTCTGTGCCACTGTTTCAAGCATTGCAGACAGAAACTGTGAAGACATGGGAGTTGTTTTGGATCCCTGTATACATTAGTACACACTGAGCAAGACACTTCTTCCCTAAGATTATGTAGCAACGCTTTGATGTCCATGTTCTCGATGAAAAGCGAGCGAGCAAAGCTGAACGATAAGGATGGGCCGATACTGCTACCAAATATTCGATACCAGCGATACCGAGGTCCGATCGAAAAAATATCGATACTAGTGAAGAGTATTGATTCTTTCGATACTGCAGGTGACCTTTACTAAAGAAAAACCTCGAGCGAGAAAAGAACTGAGAAAGGTTAAATAGTTCTAAAGTATGGCATCTCTATATGTTCCTGTATGCAAGGGAGTCTCTGATGTATGGAGTATTGAAGCACAGGATCCATAATAAATCGGGAACCCGTGGTTGGTGATTATCAGCGACCAGTGCAGTGACTGATAACCTTTCATTGTACGCCTTATGATCATGAATGCTATATAGTGAAAGTTGCAAATTGCTTAATATAGTAAGTAGAAAGATTGGACTATTGCGGTCTTCTTCATTTCCTCGGGAAAATTACATGTGAGTCCCAATAGATTGAAAGTTTGACTTGTTTGACTGTCTTGTTGATGCTACGGTAGAGAATTGAACAGAAAACCATGCAAGACTGCCTTCATTTGGTTAATCAGATCACGTGACTCACTACTTATTTCATTGACGTCACAGTATCGGTATCGGTATCGATATCGAAGAAAAAAGTGAACATCGTTCTCGGTATCGTGTCGATTCGAAAAACCGTATCGGCCCATCCTTAAATAACGATTTCTCAGAAATCAATTTGAAACAATATAGTCTTGTGATATTCCTTCTTCAGCCATTCTTAAAATCTAAAGCTTGTTATGATAATATGTTTTGTTGTCTAGACCAATCACAGAAAAGAAAAATGTTTAATTCGTTTGTCTCTCCATAGTTAACTATGGTCTCTCAAATTATTGGTGCTCGTGTCCTTGAAGAGTTTTTTAGTATTAAATTTTCCGATTTCTGATATTTTTCTGAATAATATCCTTCATCAGTCATTTATGTAGCCTATTTAAGAAACGTCACGTTTTAAACGGCTTGATTCACCAAACTAAAAGAGAAAATCCAAGAGTTGTCATTGCAAAGAAAGCACCCGAAATAGAAAAAACGCAGTGCCTATTGAGATGATAATACGAACCAGTGCGTATTATCAGTGAAAAGTGATAAACTCTGAATATATGCGCATGCGCAAATATTCAGAGTTTACCAACGTTTTGTTTTGGTTGGGTTTTTTTTTCAGGGTCCTAGGTATGAGTGTAGCTGTTCAGATTTAGAAGACATACATCCCATATACTCATTTGGACTTTTTAGTGACAGGCTTATTTCTAAGAAAGGCGTTGGAGCCTCAAGCCAGACGCACCATTGAATTTAGGTTAGAAAACCTTGGGTGTTTTCAAATGAATAAATAAATTTGAAATTGAAGTAAGGCTGTTATTGTCAAAAGCAAGTCCTCTCCATTCCTCGCGCCTATCGATGTGGCAAAATCTGCAATCTGCCAAGAGTACGAGGAAAAGACGAAAAAGAGAGAAAAAGTAAAGGATAGAACTTTCTTTAATGATTCGCTCAAAGCAAAATATCAAATAATATTGTTATACACTGAATGGAACACATTTTATAATTTCAACTGCTTTATTCAAAAGCTGACAGACTATTTGATTAAAAAGTACAGAAAGACACTGCAAACTAGAGCTATACAAACAAGACTATGCTCTGAAAGAGTCTGACTGCTTATTAAATTGTTTAGGAGTAGGGTACCACAGATATTTGAGATCCGAGCTTTCAGGCAGCCAAAGATCCTTCGAAGAGAACTTCCGGTCAACAAAAGTTAAAAGTGTTCGTTACCCCTCCCCCCTCCCACACAAGAAAATCATGCAAGCAATGAATCAACCTAGGAAACAGTAGAAATATGCTCTCAACACCATAGCTGTTATTCATTGCAGACGTAACCTGTTCTACAGGTTTTTTCCTTTAGATTTTAATTAAGAGCTATCGACTCGAAAATCAATAATAACATATCTTTAACCACGCGAAAGAAATACCTCACTGAAATATTTCGAGTTTACCTAAGCTTGTGTATTGTGAATAAAGATTGCTCTGCGCTCAATGACCTCATTGTGCAATGACGGTGGGGTGGGTAAGATACTCACTGCTTATGCAATAATTTTTCCGAGATTTACTTCCACAATGACCTCGGTATTCATCTCAGATTTGAAACACCAAGTGTTCTCATCAAATTAATAGGTTTAACACATTGAAAGTGTACTGTCATTTACAGAGGCGAGTTCTCCCAAGTTAACAAAGGTAAATGTAAAATTCAGCTCATAAATTACGTCATCGATGCAAAGAGCTCTTTTCGATTTAAGTGTCGTGAACCAATACCAAAGTAATCCCAATAGTCAATCAGAAGAAAGGAAGATACCTTTAAGAGTCAATGAGAACTCAATGTAAAAAAACCCAAACTGCCTAAAGCGCGGAAAAACGCGGACGTCCAAGTCGCGATTGGTCATTGTTTCGTACCTGATTGATTGAGAGAGTGGCGCGAGTTTCTGGACCAATCTCAGAGTGGAGTAAAGCAAAACCAATGCAAAGTCGGATTTTTTTCGACACTTGATTGAAAATTGTTCTTATATCTACTTTACTACAACAATCTAAAGTTAATTTCAAAATGTGCTGTGAATTAAGTACTGAACAAGATACGCTCTGTAGTTACTATACTAGTCTTATTATGTACCAACGAGTCTGATAACAAGTTTGTGCTGATGAGGCATCACATTTTACTGGTTTATTATCGACCATCGGTTTTGCTACAAAAATTTCAAAATTGATTACAGACAATTATAAACATTGAACTTCAGGTCTATTTATCCACATCAAAGCCTGAATTTCTGATGTTCTTAGTCTTATTAAATGAAAAATAATTTTGGAATATATTCGACGCAACCCACTATGAACTACTGATCAATGTCACATGACCACTTTTTAAACCTTGCTTCTCTTTCCCTGATCATAACAATATCAATGATGAAAAACCGGGGGAGGGCCCACGGGGTTGGGTTTCCTTACCCCCCCCAACTTCCTCAGACCTGTGGGTAACTACTTGTCTGAAACTAAAATCGTTCGAACGACAGAATCGCATATAACTATTCAGCTTACATATCTGAAAAATAACTCTTATGAATTACTTTTTAAAAATAAATTTGAAGCAATCTTTCAGAGACTACTGTTCAACGTCACAAGACAACTTTTGGAACTTTTTTCTCATCCTGATCATAACAAAATCAGTGAAGGATCCAGGGGGAGGGTCCACTGGGCCCAGCCTCCCCCCCTCCCCCCTTACTAATTTATAGTATCAGAAATATGTATATTGAACTACTTACTTCTTAGCTTATTTAAATCTATGGTAAAAAAAATTAAATTCTATGTTTCTGAAACAAGGGTTGGACCCCACCCTCCTATAAAGATTGCACGCCACCCCCCATCCCCTTACCAAAAATTTTTGGATCCGCCTCGGAAATGTTTGGATCCAACCCAAGTAAATGGACATAAAACTCACCAAGCGCCATCCTAGAGAGATGTGACGTCATAGTTGATTATAAATGACGTATCTGCTGCGTAAGTTACCAACGGATATTTGAAGAAAGTCTCCTATACAAACTGGCAAACGCAGCGGTCAAACGTCTGCGCGTGCGTGAACATTGAAATAACAAAGAAGCGCTTAAAATTAATGGCGTCCTTATATCTTGCTTTCAGGCGGTCAGAGCCACGTTGTTTTACAGTTGAAAAACAACCACCAAGTCTCCTTTTCCTTGTTTATGTTTCTGTTTACAGATTTCTAGGAAAGTTTCAAATCTTTTTTGTAATTTTTATATGACGCCGATTATTTTTCTTGTTTTCCTTTAATGGTGAATGCAGCTGGCCGAAATAGATCGTCTTGCCCATGCTGACTATTGACCATTGAGTTTAACCAACAAACCAATTGTTGAATGTTATTGTAGGCTTATTTATCCTGAGCCGATATTGATGATTCTTTCACCCAAATATTTGAACACGTTGGTTACTGGAATCAGAAACAGCAATTCGGTCGTTGCTTAAAATTGCAAGGGATATAGGATTTTGAAACTCTCCCAAATTGCTACCCCCTGTTCCAAACTTGCCAAGAAACTTACCGTTTGTTTCAAATACTTGTACTCTATGATTACGTTCATCACAGACCATCAGGTGTCCTGATTTGTTCATTGACATAAAAGAAGGAGAGTCAAACTTCCCGTCACCTGTACCTTTCTTTCCAAACTTGTACTGAAAGTTTCCATTTCTGTCAAAAACTTTGATACAATGTTCACCACTGTCTGTCACCATAAGATATCTATCATACTGAATACAGTGCATAGGAAATTTCAAAGAACTCTGACCGCCTATCTTCATAAGGAACTTTCCATCGGGAGAAAAGATTTTTATTAAACTGTTTCCTTTATCAGTAACGATGATATTTCCGTCGCTGTCTACAGATAAACCCCAAGGATCTTTAAGTTGATGATCAAGGTTACCATACTCACCAAAGCTTCCAACGTACTTACCCTCNTATATTCTGCTTTTTGGCCTCAATAACGGCCATAAGACTGTCAACAAATGTCTCAACGTTTCTTATAATGTCTTCGCCTTGTTGCATCAGTTTGGCGAATTCTTCATCAAGTCGATTAACGGCTTCCATCTTTGCTTGTAAATTGCGTCTCTGTTTTTCAACCAACGCCATCATCTCAGTCCTCTGTATTTCTGCTTCTTCTTTGATTAATTTCATGTTATGACCTCCGTGGTCCAATGTGGAACAAACCTGGCAAGCTGGCATTTCACAACTCTTACAAAAGTACTTCAGCTCTTCTTTGTTATGATCTTTTTTAGGACAAAAGGCAGGTCGTTTCATCACATCCTCATAGTCCTTGTGTTGAAAGGCTTTGAGCGCCAGAATACGGTGATCTCTGTAGCTCTTCCACATGTTGTGTCCGATTACGCACTCTTGGCAATAAAACGCACAGCACTGGAAACAATACGAACTTTCCGAGCTTGTCTTGTCGCAATTTCCACATTTCACTTGGCTGGTTTTACATTCTCTAATGGCCAGCACATCAATCAAGCCGTTCAGATAAAAACTGGTGGGAAGATCGTTGAGATCGCCACTTTCAGGCACTCTGACAAGAGCTTGCCATTTCGGGCATCGGATAGTGTCTCGGCCATGGCCTTTTCTGTGCCACTGTTTCAAGCATTGCAGACAGAAACTGTGAAGACACGGGAGCTGTTTTGGATCCGTGTATATATAAGTACAAACTGAACAACACACTTCTTCCCTAAGATTATAAAGCAAAGCTTTGATGTCCATGTTTCGGTGAAAAGCGAGCGAGCAAAGCTGAACTATTTCTCAGAAATCAATTTGAAACAATGAAGTCTTGTAACTTACCCTCTTCAGCTATTCTTAGAATCAAAAGCTTGTTATGATAATATTTTTCGTTGTTTAGACCAATCACAGATAAGAAAAACGTTTAAGTCGTTTGTATAGGATTCCTAATTCCCAGAAATGTGAAAATAACACAAACCGGTTGACCATGATATAACTCATACAATGATAAAATAAAAACGAAACTTTAGACATAGTTTGCTATTCAACTGTCGCTGACATATTTCCAGCCTTTGTCCAGCCACCCCCTATCCTCAATCAGTGTTGGTTTTTTTTGTTGGGGGAAGG